AAACGATCGCCAGGAAGTAATCCTTCCTGTTTCTCGTTTTCAGTACGTAACTGTCCAACGTCATTGTTTGACCAGCTTTTAACACGTTCAACCAGGCTTGAGCCGTTGATGCTTGAAGCGCTGTGTCGACGCAAGACATAGTGTCAGGCTTCAAAAACAGAGTTACACGTTTTACACTTTGAGCCGTGTATCCTTTTAAGCGTGCCGTTGTTAGTTCTGTACTAGAGTTAGGTGGATGTTTAGAAATCTGTTGTTGACAGATGGAAACTCGTTTCTCTTTTTTTTCTTTCTTTCTTTTCTTTTTGGAAAAAGAAGAAAAGATTAATGAAATAAATTCTTTTTATATTTTTCGTTTAATCTAAGATTTGTTTGAGATGAGTTAATTTGAGATGAGTTTGGTGAATTGATTTCGTACTCGATATGAAATAAAATATAAACAAGAAATAATTTTTTAACTTTTTTTTAATTTTTTAAACATCATAAATAGATATTACGGAGTCACGGTAATTAAGTGATACAGCATTTAAATATAGCATATAAATCTATTATACGTGTGTGTAACATCTACATGTTAGTTTAAAATATAAATTTCCGTTGTTAAATGGTTTTGCAATATTTATATATATGGATAACGATATCATTCTCTTGCAGTGTCTGCGGTTTTACCGAATTAAAAGTCAATTTGTCTTTCGTTATCGCTGGAACAGTTTTATTTCTTTCAAGATAAAATGGATATGATACGTTCAGATAACTCGGCAAAAGAAACAAATTATTACAGTAGAATTATTTACGAACAATAAAAGGAAACAAAAATTTAAGTACGTTGAATGAAAAAAAGAAGAAAAAAAGAAATCCCAGGAAAGAAATTAATATTCTCATTATAGACTTATACTTTTCTTTGTAATTATAACTTTTTAATATTTTTAATCAATTAATATCTATATTTTTATATTATACATCTAATTTTAATCATCTTCTAATTAAAAAAAAAATCTCATACGCAGAGATATCGAATCACTTTCACTTCCATCGAAGCCTTCAACAAAACCCTTCACCCGATAAATTTTTTTTCAGATCGATGCATTCCATCAACTCTCGTACCAATTTCAAACCTATTACACTTATATCGCATATTTCCCATCTCTATGAGATCGAAATAATCAATAAGAATGAGAACACAGAACGGCAATGGAATGCAATGGTCTCTCTAAGATATCATAATGCGGAGAATGCAAAAGAATCGTGGTCGAGCATGAGTTAGCTCGGATTGATCAAAATCACGAGTCGAATTGAACGTGGCAAGTCTCTCTCGTGAACATGACACGTTCTCACACCTGTTTCCTCCTCGAAACGGTGCTGGCTCCATTGAAATTTATAATCGTGCCAGACGAACCACGAAGAACTTTCTCCAACCAGGACGAAATTCTGTCTACATGAACGTAACTATAAAACATATAAATTGGACGATCAACCCAAAAGAGCTCGATCACATTTTTCCTGATCTCCCGTTCAATCTCCCGCCTTTGTATCGGCTCGTATCTCACGATCTTAATTTTAGTAACCAAAACGATCTCTATTTTCTCTATTGTGTCGAGAAATTATTGGATTGGTGCATATTTTTACTTCTTCGAAAGTGTTTTTTCTTTTTTTTAAATCATATATACAATCAAAATAATTTTCAAATATTTTCCTCTAAGACTACATATTATTATTTCATATTGTTAGGTAAATTAGTTTTCTTTCTCACTTATTTCTTTTTCTTTAATCCTATCAATTTTAAAATCTGAAGAATCTACATAAAAATTTATGTATCCTCGTAATTATACTCAGCCTCATTATACATTCAATTTCAATAATAAATATAACCTTCACGGTTTAATTAAATATAGTTTTTCTGCGATAGTAATTTTTCTGCAATATAATTATGTGTAATAGATATTCGCAGGCGTATAAAAACACACGAATAATTTATTTAAAAAAAAGTAAAATCTATCAAATGATCTATAGAAAAAACATTATAAAATATTACAAAGAATCTAAAGTTTCTAAATCTGTTTTTCCCTCTTCTTTCTCTCTCTCTTTCTCTCTATTTATTAAGAATTTCGTGACTGGTTGTTGTGTGATCGAGGATCGTTTAGCGTGTGGATTACACGGGATGGATGGTCCATCAGCGTTGATGGAATTACAGTTTGCAGCGGTTGTAGATCGCAGATGCGATTCGGTCGGTGTAATTGCACATACTCCTGCCGGAATCGCAGCTACGGATCACTACGGATTTATCGGGTGTTACGCAACGCCGTCAATTTTGTTAATTCATTGCTACGAAGCTAGGACTGGAATGCAGATAGAGCTGTTCTGTGGTGGAGCTGCTTTGAGCGAGTGAAACTCGTTTTATTGGAAACTTGTGGGTTTTCGCGATATGGATCGCGAGCTATTCGCATAACATTACGAATAAACTTCTTCGAATTAAATTTTCATTTCATTAACTAATTATTTAAAAAAAAATCAATGATCTTGATATACATGATATATTGGCAAGGTCGTTAAAATTATAAAAAATTTATATTTTAGGATAAATTCAAAGTCTGAAAAAAATTTCTTTGCATAACATAATCCATTGAGGTAATAATATTAAAAAAAGAGACATAAAAATTGTGATTCAATGCTCCATTACAACTATCAAAGTTACTAAAAATACACATCTTTTTTTTTTTATCTCATTTCCACCAAAAAAAGAAAGAGAGAGAATAAAATTCTTACACAAAACAAAAATTCGATAAAAACAATATTCGATATATCAACTCTCGTTTCAAAAATTCCCTCAATTCCATTCTTATTTACCACCAACCCCCGCGGAATCCAAAATATTTACATTTTACAAATCATCTGATGACAACGATGTATGAAACAGAACGAAGGGAGAAAGAAATTAAAAAAAGAAGAAAAGAAAAGAGAAAGAGAAAAGAGTAATTCTCGAAAATCGTCGCGTGCTGCGTTTCGCAAAGTAGGCGAGCCTTCTTCACCCCTCTGCACGAGAGGTGTATTTTGAACGTTGCGTGGCGGAAGCTTTTCCAAAAAGACCGAAAATGCGCGAGAGAGTGGACGACCGCGCCAAAACTAAATATAACATCCCAGTCCTTTGTAGAATGCGCCGCGATTTACTCGGTTTCTCTCGCAGATCCCGTATATACTAACCGAAGTTATTTCGCGTTAATGATCGAGCCGACCCTTTCACGGGGAATATCCTGCGAAAAGTAACGCGGTTGGTGGTCTTTTTCTTTTTCCTCGGGCACGCTTTTTCCCTGCATTCCGCTCCTCGAAAAGGGGGATTTTCGGATCAAGATGGTAAACTTGGTTTTCAACGCCTTTGTCGTGGCTCTCGTGCAATTCATGATTTTTTTTTCGAAATTAATAATCGAGTTGTTGGCTCGTTTCGATCGAGGTTGCGCAAGGGGACCGGAAGTTATCAGGCGGATGTATTATTAGATGCCACTTGACGGGTCTATAGTTATTCGATAGTTATTCGAGTGTACGCTTGAAAGTTATTCGACTAGTTTTAGTAGTCTTATCGATGGTTGATATATTTTTGGTGAATCGTTTTTCGATTTTTAATTATTATGCAAGATTAGAAATTATTTCTTTTAGCAGAATTCTTAGGAAAAAATTATATAGTGAAAGGGGTTAAAATATTAATTGAAAAATTGGAATTCAAATTTCTGATTCGTTTTTCGTGTTCGATTATGTGTGATGCATAGACTCTTTTTTTCTTTTTTTAAATGTGTTCTTAATAGTTTTCAATTGAAAAAAAAAAAAAGAAAGTACTATTAAAATATCAAAAGTTTAATTCTATTTTTGTTTCATGAATATGTATTACATGTAGCCTCATGAAGATTTGCTAAGTAAATCTAGTAATTTAGATTTCTCATCGTAAAGTATTGATTTTCGAGAGTTAAACAACGTACGAACGAATCAGAACACCTCAATTTTTAATTCAATTATACTTTCATTTACTTCTCTCCCACGTCATTTCTCCAATTCAACAAAAACCCAATTAACCACGGCCCGACAACTAATTCATAACATCCTTGCTCGCCGTCTAATTGTCCAATCAAGCAAATGCACCATTGAACTTCTTCGACTTCCTTCATTTAAGCCTTAAATTACACAAACCCATAATGCACCGTAGAGAAAACGAATCACGATGCACATATATTGAAGTATATCCCGTTCAAGTAAAATAAACTTTATCATTTTCTTTGTGCTGTATTTGTTGAAGAAATAAGTTTTAGCTTTTATATAAATCTCTACAAAATAACTACAAATTATCTAATTCCCATTTAAACAATGGATGAAACATTCGTATTAAAAATATAATTCAATTTGAAAGTAAAATAAATACCTTCCATTCAAATTATCTGTTTCCACACGTGTACAAATTCGATATCCACCACCCAGTATGTACAAAATGCCTTTGAAGTTCGTGGCTCAACTTCGCGAACCAAGACAGTAAATTTACGAAGATGAAAGCATGTATGCGCAAACACAGTTCCTCAAACGATTTAGTACCAAGTTAAAGGTTTTCGAAGGTTTGCGCGTACTGTTGGCATCGGTTTCCTTCCCATCTAGAATAATAGTTAAATTTGTATCACGCATTTCTCGAAAACCATGTTACATACTGCATTATTCTCAGATTTAGTGCACTCCTTGTACTCCAGCTTATTTTCGTCTCGCGCTCTCCAACTCTAGATTCATTCGATCTTTGTTTCCTCAGAAGATATTTGTCCACTATTGTCCATTTTAGACTGTTTTATAAACTTTGTTTATAAAATATTTTTTAATAAATAATATATTTATTGCATTAAAAAAGGAGCAAAATATTTCTTTGATGTTTAAAAAAATATAATTCTACCAATTGATTATTAATTCTCTCTCTAATTGGAGCACACAATATGAAATTAAATTAATTATAATTGTTCTATATATATATATTTCTTGTTTAGGTAAGTTAACCCTTGGATCAAGTCGAGATGCGGATATTTCTGTCGTTGGTACTGGCGTCGAGTCCATTCATTGCACGATTGAAAACAATAACGGCGTGGTCACTCTTCACCCCATAAATGGAAGCACGGCAGTCGATGGTGTACCGATAAATTCGCCTGTGAGACTCGCTCAAGGTAAGACCTTGACTCACATACGAATGGCCAAGTACAAACCTTTTTTATAAAGGTGTCACTTGGTCAATTTTCTCTGCTGAAATTAAATTTGATATTTTTGACAATATTAAAATGATATCAAAGTGTGGAGAATTATCTTGTAAAATATTATGCAATATCTCTATTCCTTATTTCATAGTTTCTAGAAAACAATTTTATTTCATTTTCATAAAAAAAAATTTAATTTTTTTCTTTCATCTTTTCTTATAATGTATTTATAATTTGATATTATAAAAATATCAAAGTATGTAATATATAAATGTGAAAAATTTTAACTTTTTAATTATTACGAAATATTTATTCTTTGTTTCAAAAAATATTCAAAATTAAAAATCTTTCCTCATGATTTTACATATAAATTTAACGTTTCAGGTTGCATGCTGTCCATCGGTAGATCCAACTATATGCGTTTTAACCATCCAGCCGAGGCGAAACAATTACGATCGGTACTACCGCACTCGAGAATCTCCATGGCGCCAATAAGCTTCTCTCTACCGGACGGCCAACTTCAAGAGAACTACCATTTGGAAAGGAAACCACCGGTTGCACCGCGAAAATCCCCGAGAAATTCTTGCTCGGACGAGGAGATGGGTTTCCTGGGGAAACTAACGAAATTCGAGATGCTGTCGAAGCAGAACAGGAACAATTGTGTCTCGCCAAAAGTCTTTCCAGCGGGCGCCATTACCACCAACGTGCCTGCCGATCAAATTCTCGGCCATTCGAGATCCTCCAGTCTAATCTCGTTGAAGAATAACAGCAACAACAATTCACCTTTGCAAAATTTAACGAATTTAGAAAGAAGTTGTTCGAATACATCATCCTTCAATTCGTCCTCCCCCGGCCATTTGCTCAACACATCCTCTCCAGGCAGCTGTTTCGTATCTTCCTCCCCCAACTATTGCAGCGACGAGAATCGTCAAAGAACGGAGATCAGGCCGGCCAGTAGATCCAGCACACCCAACCATCAATATCAGAACATTTCATCCCCCAATCACAATCAGATTCAAATGTACTCGACGGCAGAATCGTATCTGAAAACCTACAAGCCATACTATCGAGACAACAACAACGAGAACAACAATCAGAATCAAACGACGTCGAAGAACAATGTCAATCAAGCGGAGTTAATGTCACGAAGCTTCACCTGTCAACGATCGACAGATCTTGACGATTTGAGAGATTTCGACATGAGTCAAAGCCTGATCGTCACTAAAACCACCACGACCGAGTATCTCCAGTTAGAAAAGTTCGGCTCGAATCCTAACATCTGCAACAGCCCTAGCAACGGGAATTTCTGCGGTGCGAACTTGAGGAGCGTAGGCGGGGCGCAAGGGTTTGGATCGAATCCGAATATCAAGAGGATACAACCGCCTAGCCCTGCGTTCAATCGAAATCCGAAGTACAACGAGCCCAAGAGAGGTTTCGGCCGGGTGAAGAGCCCGACCCCTAGCACCGGAAGCGGTTGCTCGCTGGAGGAGCTGAGGGAGAGACAGATCGACGCGGAGAATAAGCGACGAGAGGCGGAGAACAAGAGGAAACAGGCGCAAGAGGAGAGGCTACGGGAACAGGAGGTCGAGAGGCAAGAGAAAATGAGACTCGAGGAGATCCTCGCCATGTGTGCCGAGTACGAGAGGCAGAGCACCGTGGAGAAACCAAGGCAACCCAACAGGTGAATGGGTTATTTGCATGCGAGAAGGTTGGAGTTTGACACGGAATCGTTTACCGTTCTCTTTTGATACGTCGTCCACGATTGTAATGCGTTATGTAGTGTGTATTATAGAAATTGCAAGACTCTTCTTCTCTTCTAGGAGAATATGTCTATTTTGTAATTTGAAATAAATAGAAAATTGTAGATCTTCTCATAGAAGATGTACAAGAGGATTTTAACTGCATAACAATACGCTGCATATTTTTATTAAGTATTATAAAGTAATTTTTTTTATATCTTTGCTAAAGTCAATCTCTGTTATTAATAACACAAAATCTTTTGTACTTCAAGTCTACAATATCTCGATATTTTCTTTTACAGAATCAAAACGAATGGCTCGCTACCACGAGACAAACGCCTCGGCTATAATTCACCCTTCGACAGCCCGAAGAGCCCATCAAAAAACCAACCCCATTTCTCCTTCGACACGGCGAAACAATCAAACTCGGCTTCGTACGAGAACGTGAACGTACAAAATTCGAAAATGCTGTTCCAAAATGGCAACTCGCCGAACAATCGTCGAAACCAGACGACGAATCATCCGGACAATCAAACGCAAGATCATCTACAATCAATCACGTCTAACAACAATAACAATAATCAGTCGACGATGTGGCCAAACGTTGTTGGCAACGGGGATCATACTTTTTCCGGTTCGATCTCGCAAGCTCGTAGCTCAGGCTATGAGAATACAACCATCGATGGATCGATGTTGAACAATAACGATGTAGGTTATGGAAAGATCATCGATCCAACGAAGGACACTTATGGAACGATCCAATTGAACGGGACCAGGATCAATGGGCAACAGAACAAGCATTCGCGAAATTATGGTAACTCGATGAATGGGAACGTAAGCTTATACGAGAATGTAGTGATTAATTCCGTGCAGAACAACAATCAAAACAATCATTCCATGCCAAAGAAGAATGGCCAGTTGTCGAACTCGTGCGAGATGATCGAGAACAAGCTGGCGATATCGAACGACGATCTTTTGGAAGCTATCGAGCAGCTTTCCATGCTTTCCAAGTCCAAAGAAATTTGCACGATCCCTAAAAAGAATAATTCGGAGAAGGACAACGCGAAATCGAACGAAGCTAAGGCTGAGAAAGAGAGGAAGGAGCTCGAGGAGGAGGATAGGAAAAAGTACATAGAGTTTCTTCAGAATGAAAAATTGCATATTCTTGGTAATATGGATATATTGAAGAGGAGTGTCGCGGATATTGAGATCCAAGAGGAGGAGATTAGTAGGGAGGTTGGTGTGATTTAATTTTTCTTTTAATTACAATATAGGCAGGGTATTTATAGCAATTGTAAAAAAAATTAGAGTTGCAAAGTATTTCCTGTATTTTAAAAAAGAATATGGAAAATATTATTGTCTTATAGTTTTTCTTTTGATATTTTAAAGATATTTTTATTTTCTTTTCAAGATATGAATGCGTTCAATACTAAGGATCATCGACAATTCTTTATCCTCTTATCTGAATTTGTCTTCGAGTTAAAATTTATTTATCTTTTTGTATTTCGCATAGAGATAAGATTCTATCTTTTCCTCTTCAAGCGTGTTCAGTCACGTTTGAACATTCGTGCATCGAGCATTTCTAAATATA